TGGGACCTCAGGTGTTTGTGACAGGACCCAGCTTTTTGTATGCAGGCCCCTGTTCCCACCTGTACTTTGTCACACCAGGGTTCACAGTTCCTGCCATAAGGAAACCAATGATGGCAGAAAACACACCAGGAACAGGGCTCATCACCCCTGTAAAAAGCCTGTGATGTACACTTCCAGCCTTGGCTGGGCTACAGGACCACACAGAGAAGAAAAAATCCTGCCCAGGCCAAGCACCAGAAGCTGCATAGGCTAGTTAGATTAGCTTCTGCATTCGTAGGGAATAAAGATGAAAGCCTCTGTCTTTGGTGTCTCAAAATTATCTTTAAAATAAATGAAGAAACAGTCTTTTCCAGGAGGGGTGTCAGCACTCGGTCAGACTTTATCCCAAACCAACATCACCCTGGACGTGTCATCCACTCCAGCTGCAGACCCTTGGTTCCTGGCCTGCAATATGGGCTCCTAGTGCTCCCTGCTCCACTGCCTTAAGCTCTGCCCACATTCTGTCCTCTAAACCTGCTGCCTTAGGAAGGACAGGTGAGCCCCAGATTGCATCCAGGCTGAAGTGGAGCCCTCAACACACAGAAACGTGTGACTCACCATTGTGGTGGTGAATGGGATGTTGTCAATCAAGGACGATGCCAAGGCTGAGACCCACAGCACAAGGGTGATGGCGGCCGCGAGGCGCTGTTCCTTTGGGACCATCTGGAAGGAGCAGATGAAAGCAGTGCTGTTTATCAACAGCTGGCTTGTTAAATCACACACACCTAGGATCTGATAATATGACATGTGAGACTTGGAAGGGACTGGAGGGTTGCTAGTCTTTCCTCTTACACATGACAGACAAGACCAAGGCAGACACAGGTGTGAACACCAAGGCCACAGCTATACCCAAGACCTTGGTAGGTTTCCACCAGTAACTGAGGGCAGCAATTTTCAACCACAACCAAGCCAACTAGCTCCATGGGGAGGGAGGCAGAGCATTCCCATTCCTTATCCACGTCTGATGGCTGCACGCCCTGGTCATACCAACCTGCTGGCCCAGCAGAGCACTGGGAATGGGACATCTGCAGCATTCACTTACTGAGACTCAAGTTGACTGCTCTCCTTCCCAGACAGCTTAAAACGAAAGGCTAAATGCAAAATAGCATGTATCTGTAGCCATACATTCTTTGAAAATAATCTCCCTTCATCTCTAGGCTGCACAGGATAAAACAGGTTCCCTGCCATACTTTTTTCCATAATTAATGTGACCTATTCTTACCAGATTTTTTTTTTTTCCTTTCTACAAAATCAAAGAACAGTGGCTGGAGCACATTCTATTACAGCATTTAATGTACCTTAATTAGCAAAGCAGTCTGTTCTCCGACATATTCTATTAAGTGGAGATGTGCCAATGCCTGGAAGAAATAGATGTATATGGTGAGAATCAATTTAAAACGGAGAATATAGGCAAGACTTTTTGAAAAACCATGTCTTCAAAATGAAAAGAAATAAACATTATAAGGTAGGCCCAGACTCGCTTCTTGTAAAAGATCAGACCCAAGTACCACAGGCTATTAATAATTTACTATCATACACGCACAATGAACATTCACAGAAAAAAGTACAATTGCAGAGGCAGGAATTCCTCTTTGATTTGTGTTAATGTCCATGTTAAATTTAAATTCCATGGAAGACAATCTCTTTAGTTTAAGATCTATGTATAAGGGTATTGCACATAATGAAATGCCACTCCATGTAGAAGGCTTTTCAAGTAAGATGCATTTCCAATTTCCTTATGAAGTTAAACAACACAGGGTTTTAAAAGAATAAAAAGAAAATGCACGTTTTATATAATCTTCAAAAAAAAAGGAAAGGTTATTTAACTGAAACATGTAGCTATTTTCACAGCACTAGACAGATACAGAAAATTGTATCCAGGGAAAGGGAAGAAAGATTAGAGGAAACAAGATGGAAGTGCTGGAGCTGTTCTGCCCAGGTGCCACCATGGTGCCAGCACAGGAAGGGATTCTCTGAGACCCATGATGGGTCCAGATGGGAAGGCACTGGGAGGGAACCAGATGTGGGGGCAACTTAGCTGCCCA